TTTATAACATACTCAGAAGCAGAGAAGAAGATTTTCAAAGAATAAATGCATTTTCACTATATAATCAATAAAAACCCGCCCTTACACCAGAACCCCTGACCCTGGGGCCATAAAATTCACAATTTCAGAAAAGGCACTCTTGCTTATCATAACTATGTGCTTAGTTAGTTTATAACATACTCAGAAGCAGAGAAGAAGATTTTCAAAGAATAAATGCATTTTCACTATATAATCGATAGAGCCCCGCCCTAACACCTGAACCCCTGACCCTGGGGCCATAAAATTCACAAATCTGGAAGAAGCACTCATGCTCATCATTACTATGTACTTAATAAGTTTATTTAATACTTAGAAGCAGAGAAGAGGATTTTCAAAGAAATAATGTATTTTCACTATATAATCTACATAGCCCCGCCCTAGCACTAGAACCCCTGACCCTCGGGCCATGAATTTCACAATTTTGAAGAGGACTCAATGCTCATTACATTCATGCTAACAGTTTGCCTGCTTGGTGTCCAGGAGTAAAGAAGAAGATTTTTAAAGATTGCAATAATTTTATTTGTTTTGGCCCCACCCCTCAGGCCCCAGGGGGGTGGGGACCATGAAATTTTAAAAATTTTGTTCCCCTTCACCCATAGATGCTGCATACCAAATTTGGTTGAAATTGGTTAAGTGGTTTCAGAGAAGAAGCTGAAAATGTTCAAATGTTAACACACGACACGGACGAAAACGGATATCAATAGGTCACCTGAGTTACTCAGGTGACCTAAAAACAAAGAAATAAATGCAGGGGATCACTTTCTTATCTGTAGAAACTGGAGCTTAGCCGGAAAGGCCAAAGAAGCGTTTGGTTTCAGAGCTTAATGAGGTAGACATGTACATTGGTTTGTTTGTGAACTTTTTTGACAGTTCAAGCCTCAAGAATTAAACCATTCATAAACAATCAAAAATTTAATAAGTTTATATATTATTTTGGAAAAATTATACCAGTAAATCTATAAATTGACAACATTAAACATTTTTTTCAAGACAGTTTTAGGCATGTCCTTTTTGTATATATATTCTGCAAATATATATATTTTTTTTTTTTTATCGCATAATTCTTTTTCATCATTTTGCAAACACACCGATGAGACGTCACGTCTTTGAAGCGCTTTTGTGACCTAATTATGTTTATGTCACAAAGGTCCCTTTTCGCTTGACGCAACTCATATATAAATGCAGTGAAATTGAATGATGTGTTCACTAGGTGGGCCCCTCATCTACTCATGAGGCGGGTCTTACCATGTATTACGTACCTTAAATTCAAAGACAGTATTGTTTGCTGTTTATTATCCCTTTCGAAAATTTATTCACTTGCATGGAGACGCCAAGACACCTCCGAAACACTCTTAATTAGTCATGGTAAATTTTATTGATGATTTGTTTCAAGAGTGAAGAATTCCAATGAGCTAAAAACAAAAGATTGAGACGTCGCCATTGTTTTATTAAGAGCCAATTTAATGCCCTGTAATCACATCTGGATGTTATTTTGTTTCCAACAAATGCTTGAAAATCACAATAGAACAATGTCGGCCGTTCTGATACAAACTGATTTTGATGAATTGCATTTTATTAAACTTGGTTAACAATAAAAAAATATTTGATTCATCTTATTTTAAAAATCTTTTCAGTCGGCGTGATTTAATTGGGTCAGTCGCGTTAGGGGAAACAAAGGTATTTTTTATTTTGGCCATCTTAGTGTTAAGTGTTTGCCAAGTTATTATGAAATGAAATTTAATCTAGGAGATGTAGCATTTTAAAAGTATTTCATAGAATTTTATATTTTAGTAACCATGGCAACATAGTTTATCGAAATAAAAAAGTCAATACATGTACATGGAATTGTGTATCTAAGTGTAGTCTACATGTTTGCCACATTATTTTGAAATCAGATTTTAACCCTAGGGGAAGTAGCATTTTGAAAGTATTTTACAGAAATTTCTAGCTTTAGTAACCACGGCAACACAGTTTATCGAAATCAAAAATCAAAATCTAGAACTGTGTAGTCTACTTGTCTGCCAAGTGATAACAAAATCAGACTAAAACTGTAGGAGAAGTAGCATTTTGAAGAATTGTTTACAGATGGACAGACAGACGGATGGACGATGAATAAATTACTATCGCATAAGCTCTTTTGGTCTTTGACCAGTTGAGCTAAAAAATAAAGACTTACTTTTAGGAATGACATCAATATATATATCAGCTTCTCCAACGGTATTTTTTATTTTCAAAATGTATACTCCATAATCACTCTTTGTAACTGATGTCTGGTTGTATCTGATAGTGAAATTATTCACAGCATTCACAAAAAAATTGCTAGTCATTTCACTGACTACAGTTTTGTTTATACGTGTTAGTTGATAGCTTGGTTTTGGATATGCTGTGACATTGACTGAAAATTCAATTCCAATTTCATCTGTTATCCCAAGTGTAATGTTTCTTACCATTTGCGGTTTACCTGTCAAGAGAAAAAAAGTTTTATATTGAGGATCCTGTAATGAAAATAACTTTCATAACTAGTACGCTTTGACTTTTGGAGAAAGAACCTTCATAGGAAAAGATTTTTTTCAAAGGATTTTCAAACTTTTCAAATTGAGTAATAAGTACTAGCTTAAGATTATATGACATACTTTCTTGTAATTAAGGCCAGATAAAATTAATCTTTAGATTCTCATTCCTGCCCACCCCTCTCAAAGTGTCCCGCCCCGGTGTTTTTTATTTCAAAATTTGTATTTTTATTCAGCGAGAATTTTAATCAAAGTTTAAGAGTAAAATCTCCCGTCTGTATTAAAAGTCGCGTGTCGCTATTTATAGCAAAAGAAGTGTGAAAAATGGAGAAATATCAGCAATAAAAGCAGTTTAAATATGTAAGGAAAAGATAATTTGTCAATATATAGAGAATTAATTAAAGCAGAGAAGAAAAAATAGCATAAAGACATCTATATATCATCACTGGCATTAGCAAAGATGAGGAAAATGACACCTGGTCAAGTTCTAACGATCTCTAGCTGTACATGATTTTGCATTTAGAAAAAAAAATAAAACATCGTCAGCAGACTTTAGAAAATAAAAGTGCTAAGGAAATGTTTCATCTTAAAACTGTTTAGGCCTAGACTTTTTCAGAATATTTTATAGATTTTGCAAACATGACCTATTTTAATGTCGAACATGTCATTTTAGTCTCAAGAACGATAGAGTTTTTGAGGAAGGTGGAAATCTGTGATATTTTACACAAAACAGAAGGATTTGTTGGTAAACCAAACAGATATTTGGGGAAAGGCAATGAGAAGTCATGCATGCACAATTTATTAATTAGTATCTGCACCTCATTTTGTTTGGTGTGTGCTGTATATGTGTACTTGATTATTTGTTAATCAAACAATAAATATTAAATTTGTAAAACAAGAAACATCTGTAGATATTTAAAAGAATATGAAAACAATAAAGTCTATTCAAATTAGCATTAACATATTATGAAAAAAAAATGTGTACGAAGAGTCCATGTTTTGTTGATACTTTCAATTATAAAAAATAAAAAATAAATTCTGCCCACCTTCCCCAATGTTTTAGCAAATTCGGATGAGAATCTAAAGATTAATTTAATGTAGCCTAAATGTTGTGCAGCCAGTGCAACTTAGAAAAATAATTTCAACTTTAAGTACAGATGAATAATTTTTAGCTATTTTTAAGGGTATCGGCTCACTGAGAAGAAAATAGAAAACAACAAAACTCTTATTCAACATCTCTATTTAAGGAATTAATGACCTGAACAATATTTAGAATTTCTTTTGAAATTAAATTCATTTATAATATCTAAAATCAACATAAAAAATCAAATCTATAGATCAACAAAATATAGGCCAACAATATATAGAAAAAATAAATTAGGCCAAAATAAAAAATACCTTTGTTTCCCCTAACGCGACCGACCCAGTTAAAACGCGCCGACTGAAAAGATTTTTTAAATAAGATGATTCAAAATTATTTTTATTGTCAACCAAGTTTTATAAAATACAATTTCATCAAATTCAGTTTTTATCAGAACGGCCGACATTGTTCTACTGTGATTATCAAGCATTTGTCGGAAACAGACGGAAACAAAATAGCGCCCAGATGTGATTACAGAGAAGTATAGTTCCTCATAAAACAACGGCGATGTCTCATTCTTATGCCTTTAGCTAACTAGAATTCTTCCCTCTTCAAACAATATGATAATAAAATTTACCATGACTAATTAAGAGTGTTTCGGGGGTGTCTTGGTGTCTCCATTTGAGTGAATAAATTTTCGAAATGGACATTTAACAACGAACAAACAAATTTTAGGTATGTAATACATGGAAAGACCAGCCTCATGAGCAGATGAGGGGCCAATCTAGTGAACACATCATTCAATTTCATTGCATTTTATTAAATTTGAGTTTTGATCTAATAAACAATTCATGACATCTATGTTCCTATGTTAACTATATGCCAAAATGGAATCATAGGAGTTGTTATAAATATGTCTGCATATTCATCCTAATAAATATATAATTCACTTGTACTTTTTCATGCCTTTATTTACGGGTAAAACTTCGTGACTATGACATTGTTTTATATAACATTTTTATCATTTGTAGATTCGGTTTGATTCCTTTAAATATTGTTTAAATACTCTTTTCAAATAGTTTTGAAATCATAATTCAGCCTCCTGAGACGTCCGGTGACATTTCTCTAATAAGGCTCTTGAAGATTGGTTGTTTCTTTCGAGATTTGTTGGGATGACATTCGAACATTTCCCCCATTGCTTCAAATTTAGACGTACTACGCACTTTTTTGCCATTAAGCAGTGGGATCTTTTTTGAGCCAGCATCTTCTGCGACACTGGACATAAGTTTTTATGGTCCCTTTTGAAGGACCGTTTTCAACGTTCCTCATTGGTATTTGAATCTGCAACTTAACCACTGCAAATCTCATGGCCCTCAAAAAAGTACATTGACTGTTCATAAGCACTGGAGGGTGATTGAAAGTTTGAAAAAAAATACTCGGATGTCCAGTCTTTGCGTATTTGAGAATCTTGTCTTTTTTTATTCGATTTATATAAATGTACTCTGGCGTGAGATATTTCACAAGTTCATCTAAATTACAGTTGTGAATTAATTAATCATGAAATTTGCTTTTAAACGGCAAATGTATGATACTTAGCATTTTGTTCACAAATCACTTTCTTTTGTACTTTTCTTATTTATAAAGGTAATTTTCCATTAAATTCTAGAATGTATTTTCAAAGCTGCTGTCAGAAAATAAAATTGTTTACCTACCTACCGACCCAACTTGAGAATTTAGGGTCGGGTTAGGGGAAACAAAGATATTTTTAATTCCGGCCTTACATGTAAACTTATGTCATGTAAGAGACACTTACAAGAGACTTCGATCTACATGTAAGTCGAGTTTAATTTGGAAATATTTCAGTGCTTCTTAACCCCTTCACTTCCGTACCGGTCAAATTGACCGATGGCACGTTAAAACACGACTTCGCGAAAATAATATCTCCATATCTATTTTATGGTAGCATGAAGGTATATAAGCTATATATCATCTTTTTGGAAATTTTCTCTACTTTTAAAATATCTGAAAAGATTATTATGTCTTGATTGCCGATATTTAATCGATTTTACGTTGTGAAGACAAACGTGACTTTTTGAAAATGGCGTAATTTTCCAAAGCAATTGCCGATTTTCCAGACGATTGATATTTTTTTCCTGATTAACTTTATAAAGAAAGGATGGTATATTCTTAAAGCATATTTTCTCTGCTTTTAAGATATGTAAAAATCATTGTTATTATTTTAAAGTATATTTTAAAAACAAGAATTTTCTTGCACTGATGTGTTTTTTCACGATTTTATTCGTAATGTTTAAACAAAGCTCAGTTTTACGTTTATTTCCGTGTTGAAATAGGGAATACAAATTAAAGCTGGTAAAAGTAGAGAAAATTTTCTTTCCGACAAGCCTTTACAGGCCTTCTTGCGCTCAGTATTTTCTTAATTACGATAATTTGAATTTGTGACCTTCGCATAGTTTTTATAGAAAAATCATTCAATATTTACATGTAACGTCAAGGTCGATATTGTTGCGTCTTACTCAAAACAACAAATTCTTTCATAAGACTTTTTTATCCATTTAAATATATTTTTTACTGAAATAAATGCATAATACAAAAAAAAATAGATTTCAAAAAACAAATATATACTATCGTTCTGCCTTTTGTGAAGTGAAATGTTAATTTATTCACCTACATGTAATGATGTAAATTTCCTGTAGTGATATACAATGTTGAAAAAATTGTAGATTCCCTAAATGTAGATCTTTACTAAAAAAAATCAGATTTTAATATTGTTGTATGTTGTTATACTGTACACTTAATTTGCAATTTAATTAGATCTATATTGGCACAAAATTTAACAACACAAAAACTCGCAATTATAAATAAATGCGACTCATCACTGTATGAGTTGATATGAATTGAAATAACCACGTGTTTCCGCGTGGTAGCAGTAAACAACATGATGGTGATCTGAAATCTGAACGTCAATTTTCATGATTATTTCACAACGAAATTCATCACATCAATGAATCAAATAATACGGACATGCCTTTGGTATTAGCAGGTGAGAATACGTGTATATTGACCGAATAATGTATGTTTAAAACACATTAGTTCACGTTCAAAAGAAAATTAAATGTACACATGTAGTAGATTTTCATGTTCCAGTGTTTGTATTTTGTATTGTTCAGCCAATTTGGTGTTGCTTTTGAACTTTAATGCTTTTGACAATCACTCGCAAGTTCAAAGTAAAATCAAAGTTGCTATAATAATGGAGAGTTGTTTTCAGTATGTGTGTTATAACCAGTGTGTACATGTACCACTTTCATATTGAATTTTTAGGGTGCTGGAACCATATGCAACAATACTTTCATCTGTGAATACCCACTTGCTAAGCCCAACATACACTACGAAGGCCAATTAATATACAAGGACACCAATGAACAGGTAAATTTTTGTTTTGGTACTGAAAATTTCTGTATTTCTAAAATTTCAAAAAATAAAGTCATATTTTATTTGTGTCATTCTCATGATATTGCATTCATTCAAGTTTATAAACATTTGATTTATATTTTGAAAAAAAAGTGTTTGAAACACTTGATTATTCATACAAACACATTATTTAAACACGTAATATCTAATTGAATAAATACCGAGATATGGAACAAGCTGTTTTTATAGACTGCATGCTGTTGTATTTTCAATCTGCATAAAGTATGTGGTTAGAATTTCCATTTTCTAAATTTTTCAGACACTTTCCAATTATTGTACATCATATATATGGGTGGTCAAACTAAATGGATGGTTTATCAACACTCCCATGCTCACAAACAACCTTGCCCCAGGAATTTTGTCCTGATCAGAAGTAACATT